TAGCCAAACAACTTCCAGTTTTAGGGATAACGCTTTTTTGGTATTGCGGAAGAAACTGAGCACAAGGCTGGTTAATAGAGGAAAGATCGAAGAAAAAGAATCCCGCTGAATAACTTAAATTTGCCAAGATATTGAAGTGCTTATACCAAGGTTTACTTTTATTAAGAAGAGACTCAGTGTGAGCGTAACAGGCATTTAAATATTCCTGTTTATTTTTTTTTTTTAAGCCATTCTTGTCTCTCCTCCCTTTTCTTCTTTCCTGGTTCTCCCTTCTCTCTCTACTCTAGTTTTTCCGTTGTTTCTGCCTCTCTCTCTCTCTCTCTCTCTCTCTTTCTCTCTCTCTCTCTTTCTCTCTCTCACTCTTTTTTTTAAATGTTTCCCCCTTTTTTAGTCCTTTCTCTCTCCTTCCTTCAGTTTTCCCACTCCGGTGTAGCATTCGTCAATTTTAGTGCTGTTTTTCACGCACAAACACATTAAAGTTAACGCGGATTATGATAGCCATCAATTCTAATTAATTCCGCAAAAAGACATTAGATTACATCTAATGAAGAAGACTATTTTACGATTCATTTGCGCTCAGAAATAAGATATAATGATTATTAAGCCCTCCAGCCAATACGACTGAGGAATGCTGACGAATTATAAGTATATAAGTATATCACCCCCAGCCCTACTGATGCTCAGGTGAAATGACATTAACATGCGATGTATATATGTACAAAATTCTATTCAGTCGATAAAGATAAGGCCGCTAACAAACTACAGTCTTTTGGTACAAACTTTAAATGTATAGATTCGGAAAGGGGGCATCTACAGTCTGTAAGTATATGGGCGAACTCTCCTTGCGTCGTGCAGAAGTTTGTATTTGTAAAACATGCCTTTGATCAAAGTTATGTGTTCAGTTGCAATATACCCTAAGCCTAACTGATGGTCAATGAATTTGATAAGAGTGGCACAGCCGAGTCAAATCGGACGCATAAACACTAGTTTTTTCTTTTATATCATAGCTGTAGTTTATGATCAAAATATCAGTAGTAAAGGGAGAAAGAAATACCCAAACACCCCAAAATATAAATTATAGTCACAAGTAATGTGAAATAAGAACATTAGCCACCCTTTGGGCTTCATAGGAATAAAATAAATTAAGGATTTATATACAAAGAAATATATGTAGCAATGTTTGATGTTGAGTGTATGACGTCACAGACTCCAAAACATAATCGTAAAAATATCATACTTTCGTACTGAATATCGAGAAAACACTTCATACAGTGATTATTGGACCTTTAAAGAGTATTCTTAGGAAGTTTCAGCTGAATCCAAGTTTGAGCGATTTTCGTCATAGTAGCACTTTAAGGTATCTCCTAACCGCTAGCCGTGTTTGTCAACACTCTGTACCCAGAAAGGTCAAGTCGTATAAATTTCTCTCATATTTCAATCAAAATGGCTTCCATAGATACGAAGTTTTKGGCTTTTTTATTTCGCATTGCTTTGAAGTATCGACTTAAGTCCATGAAAAACGTATTTAACTATTACAGTAGCAGTTAGGGATTGACCAAAAATTGAAAATTTTTTTCCCACTCTGAAACAGTCCAAGTACCTTAATCGAACTATCATTATACACGAGATCGTACAAAAAAGAAACTATATTAAAAAACAGGAGCAAGAATGAAATGCGGCAAAAAAAAACTCATTAGTATAGGACTTAATAGATTATCAATAATAGTGAACTATAAAGTCAAACCGGAAGTATAGTACTTATCTTACAAATAACACTGACAGGATGAGTGAAGTACCAATATTTCCAGCAATATTAAAGATATTAAAGATATTAAAATAAAAATAAAAATATTGTACTGAATTCTTTACGAAATGAACCAAGTTTGATAGAGAAAATCCAAGTTAAAGTTTATGCAAATGAAGACGAATCTATATCAGATATAAAATCACCTTCATTGTCATGAGAAAAAAAAAAGCAATATTAAAGATATGCAATATTCGCCTAAAAATAACGACTTGGAGTAGCCATAGTTAATAGTTCTTTTAACTATGGATCTAACATAGCTAATAAATTTATACAACTGAAATGCATGCAAAATTAATCGAAAAAAACTTTACAAAAGTTTATTTGTGCATATAAAAGTTTATTGGTGTATATATTGATTATCTCTAAAAATGAAAGCTTGTCACATAATATTCAAAATTTAAAACGTTGACAATACAGTTTTTTTGTGTACGTGTCAACTTCTGATTGTCATTTACTTTCAATAAAAAGCGAATCACCTATAATAGCTCTAGTTTTAGAAACAATGACTGATTTTTTAACGRATTTTTTTGGAGATAAAAATAGTGAACTGTGACAAAGAAGTTAAAGCAAGCGTCAAATATACCATGTAGGTATATATAAAACCATAAAAGTCCAAAGTGCCTTTTGAGCTTCTAGTGCTCCACGGTTTTCAAGTCATAAGCCTCTAAAAGGCTTTTAAAAGGTTTCTTTTTTACTCTCATCAAACTAAATTTGATATTCGGGGGAAAAAACGTCTTTTTCAACTTCCCATATCGTGGGCAAAGAAGGTACGTGATGTAAAGCGTTTTTAAAATCGTAGTTTTTAAAAGGAATTTTTTTAGCTTTGGACAAGCCGTAAATTTGATATGTGTTGTTATTTGAAACGGGTGTATTTTCGAAGCTCTTCCCGAAACATTCTAAAGTAGACTAAAGAGTTATGCAAAGGAACCAACCACAGGGGTGACCACACACCTGACAAATAAACCTGACAGACCATTTTCTAGATCTAAACAACTATCACACTATCATGCCATATGCACCACCTACCACTCTATAGGACTGAAATACGTCTAAGTGTGCACGAAAAGAGCACCTCACTCTTAAAAATCAACCATTTTCTATCCTATAGAAACAGGTATTATGACATTATCATTTTTTTACCATGACTGCTATACGCTACGCCTACATGTGTACAAAGAGAAAACTTTTCACTCTTAAATACACTGAATTATGCAGTACAATATGGCTATCTACTTCCACCTATATGCCCACAAGCAACCAGGACTTTTAAGAACATGCGTAATAAGTAAATTACGAGCCTTAGATGAAACGACTGAAGACTTCTTCAGTCGTTTCATCTAAGGCTCGTAATTTACTTATTACGCATGTTCTTATTTGATATCCGAGCCCATCCCACACGGCGCACTGCCACATCTATCTAGTACTACTTTTTCGTGGGATTGCCAGCTCACTAGATACACTGTGCTGACGAGGCCCAATACAGGCCGAAACAGCTGTCCACAGTTTCTAGTTGAGCTGGCTCACTTTTTACGCGACTTGAAGTCGTGAAAGGCTTGTATGGCACTCTTCTTCAGTCGTTTCATCTAAGGCTCGTAATTTACTTATTACGCAGGACTTTTAAGCTAACTTCTGTTAAGCCCCGTTTACACTGGCGATTTTTGCGGCGATTTTTGTGGCAATTTTCGGGAATTTTCCTTCTTCAAAAGAGACATTCGTCTAGGGAAATCTCTTTACCATTATTTATTATGGACAAAAACGCACAAAAATCGCAGCAAAAATCGCAGCAAAAATCGCTAGTGTAAACGGGGCTTTAGAGAAATTTTAGCCCCTATGGCACGCAATACTAGAAACATGCTCACTCGCTCGCTGTTGGCTCGGGCAAGTTCTATCGACGTATACCATGTAACACGACAAAACATGACAAGAACCTACTGTAGAGTTAAGACCTGCTTTTCTTAAAATACCCGTGTTCATCTTTTTTCCTCTGCTTGGAACAATGCAGTTCTTCGAAACGTAAAGTGTGTACAGGAATCTTTTAGTTAATGAGCTACGTGCACTTTTCAAGTATTGCAAACAACTAACAGTAATATCAGACAAGTGTTGCTAGTAAGCGGATAGCTATAAATAAGAACTTCAAGTATTTCAATCGACACACGCTTTTTAAGAAAAAAAAGTTGGGAATTACGGTCTTCTACTAAAAGGTTTTCTGCGGCTTCTCGTTTTACCGACCACTAAATATTTTCAGTGTGGGTCAGGTGGTGTTACCGATCGCATGGCGAAGTTTACCTTTAAGAAAAACTTTTAAAAAATAGTGTAAGCAGTAGCCTAGTTTTGGGACCTTAAAAGTACTATAGTTACAAATATCTTATTTTCATATTCCCGTCTTACTACTCCTTTTTTTTTTTTTTTTTTTTTTTTTTTTTTTTTTTTTTTTTTTTTCTTCCTCTTAATTTTTATTCTTAATTTGTGTTTTATAGTAGCTTTTAACATACTCCCGTTTTTCTTTCATTCATTCATTTTTTCCTTCATTCATTTTTCTTTCTTTCATTCTTTCTTTCTTTCTGACAGGGCTTCTTCTATCTTTAACCACTTCTCTCCTTTGACAACCTGTTACTAATCATACTTGGCAATAAGTCATATTCGCAGGGAGCCTTAAAATCTAACACACGTTAACCATTTCTCTCATTCCTATATGTTAGGATCACCATGTCCCTCTAGGTTCCAATTTTGACATCAGCCAACAAACACAGCCACGTTAAAATATCATGCGAGCATTATTATTTTACAATAGCATATCATCCCTGGGGTTGATTTTCGAGTCGTCATTGTTTTGAAAGTCGAGCATAAATCCACAATTCATTTCAATTAACTGTTATATTTTGTAATAACATAACCGCATCCTTTTCTACCAGTCAGATAGTTATATTAAAAATTGGTCTATGTAAAAGCACATGCTAGAATGCGTCACTCAATGGAAAATAGTAGTAAATGTTTCCTTCAAGATACATTACAGAACTGTTACTTAAGGGGAAAACTACTTCATTTTCGGGGTTACAAAATCGACTAGTTTTGGAACTGATAAATTTAAACACTGTGTTTATTAAGACTTAACACGTATTTATTACCTGAGAAAAACCCCTCCTTTTGCGGTTACTTCTCCAGGTTTATCTAAGACTAAGTATATTCTCCGCAGCTTGGGGTCCCCGTGGAACAATGGAGAGGCTGACGAGCTGAAGTGAAGATTCTGTCAAAGCATTTAAACTAAGAATCACGCGAGTAGGCTAAGAGAGATCATTTTACCGAAAAGCAAGATTGATCTGTTGTTATACATCCTAAATCTTCTGACAAGATTGTCGATAAAAGTACCATTATACAAGTCTTCTCCGGGCAATATAGGTAAAATGATATATATTGTCGGAGCCTTTAGGCTTTCTGACGAAATCACTTGTTTCAAGAAATCAAAGAAAGATTTTTATGTGCCGAAAAAAATTTGACGTAATTAAATAAATTCCTATTGAATACTATATTTTCAGCCTCGGGGTGTTTATCGGTACCAAGCGTTAAAGTTTTCCTTTTTAATTCAATCTCTTTAAGCAAGCACGTCTTAGGAAAGCGGAGAGCTATTTAATCTTACAATAAAACAGGGTTTATAAATGTCAGCCCATAGAACCTATTTATATTTTAAGATTAAAAGAAAGCTAGACAACGTGGGCTAATATCAATGTATATTTAGTCAGCCAAGCATAAAGAAAACACGCCGTATGTACATGTTTTGCTTTTAGCTGTTCATGCTATGATCAAGCAGTAAATACATAAGCAGAGTGCCGTGGTTTTTCATAATTAATCTCCAATTCACACCAGCCAACCAATACCAGACTTTATGATAAAAAAGAAGTGCAATACACCTGTTATATTCAGTATTTTCTCCCGGGTGAAACCGATGGAGATTTTGCTCCAAAGCGCACTGTTTTTCGCATAGATGTGGACAGTGTTAGGTATATGCCTACAGCTTCCTCATCCAGACAAGCCAACACAAGTAAGTCGACCCGTTTTCACCTTTTTCGCTAAAAAAACATGGACCACTTGTGAGAGACCATTAATGATGATTAAGGGAAAGACTCCTTTAAGATCTCTTACATTAGCGTTAAGTTTAAGTTGAGATACAGTTGGTTGGGTATTAAAGGAAGACATTTAGCCGTGTGCTTTCTGTTGGGGTCGGAAATGTCACTATGTAAATTCAATCAATAACAAGGCAATTTCATTAAGAACCAAAATTTGATAGCACAAGTTAAAATAATTTCATTTATATATATTTCCTAAAAGGAATCTATAGGCCAAGTGGCAAGCTTGTCTTAACATACTAATGCGTACCTAATGGAGCAGCCAGAAAGTCAAATCTTAGACACTCGACAAATATAAAAAGAAAAGCATTCCAACGCGTGATTTCTGAGAACGAATCTTCAAGAATCACGAATAATTGAACTGATCATTTTGTATTTGTTTTGGTGTGGTTTCTACTGAGAGAGTAGATGTTAGAGTGGTTGATAAGAAGTCAGAGATAACTCATGGCTAAAAGCTCGGCAAATATTAACATCACGGGTCAGTGACAATAATCAACAGACATGACAGTGAGAAGGAGGTGTTAGGAAGTACATATCTGATGCAGGGGGACAGAGATGTCGACTTCGATAAAACACTAAAGAACTAAGATATTAGTGCACATTATCAAAGCAGATTTGATTGGAAGGAAAAACGGTTATAGAATAGAAGAAAGAAAAGGGATAACCCTATAGATTCAAGAACGCCCTGTATGGTAGGCCTATTAACCTTAGCTTTTTTAAAACGGCTCGGGCTAAAAGGTGACGACAGAAATCAAAACAAGAGATATGGAATAACAACTCAACCATAATATTGCTATCTGGAGTGGGAATAAGGTAAAAATATAAGGCAAACTATTGATTTATTGAACTAAGGGATCTTATAAGTAGAAAACAAAGGAACTTATGTTTTCCACGGGCTAGTCATAACCGTAGGAATGAAATTTTTTCCACGAGTCTTGGCTTTTTATGGGGTATTTTAGATACGAAGGCAGATAAACACACTGAAAGCAGTGGATTGTTCAAGACACAGGGCTAGTGGAAAGCACTCTCAAGAAAAGAATAGTAAATATAGTTTTCAGCAGAAAGAGAATAGGCATGTGGAAAAAAAATATTAAAGATGAATCATAGAAAATCTTTATCGTGGTTTGACAACTGAAACCCCCTTTAGAGAACTGATAATATAGTCAATGCCAAATCTTTATCTTGAATGCTCTGTCATTGCTTACTATTCAAAGATAGCGACTCGTAAATCATTTTAAAAGTAGAACAAAGGCTCTAGAGGCACAAATTCATTACATTCCTACTAGTATATGACAATAAATTGTTAAATTGGCTATTCTAGTGGCCTCTTACGACCCAGGCAGACGAAAACAAGAACAATAATATAAATGGCATTATATCAATGCAAAGAAAACAAGGTTATATTTATTTTCACACGTTATAAATAATAAATAGAAGCATTAGCGCATCTATTAACTTAGGGTACGTGTTACTTGGCCCAACATCGTAGCATATATTTCTAAACTGAACCATGTCTATTTGTTTTAACAGATAACTAAAAGATAACCCAAGAGCTGAGCCGTCAAATGCTGGTTTCTATAAAGGTAAGAATAATATAACACAATCTATATCTAATGATCTAACTTTGCATTAGAGATTAATACAAGTGCTGTTCTTAGATGGACTAAAATCTTGACCTAAAACGTCGTGGAAAATTAGTACAAAAAGGAAAGAAAAAGTGATAACTCGATTTTCAAAAATTAATATTATATAGTAAAATCACAAAAGTGTCTAGTCGCCTGAAAATCTCAGACTAGTTCAGAATACCCTTGACAACGAAACACTGATAATCGCGTTCTTTGACATAAAACTGCTGATATTTTTGGCCAATTGAAATACGTAAAACACTTCATAAACTCTATGGCGGAGTGGATTCGGCATCCGGTGGCTATGGCGTAGGAGAAACGTGGCGGTGAACACTTCGTCGAGTTGATAACAGATAAATACGTAATTCTCTGTGTTTTGTTGAAAATGTCCAAATTATGTAATTGTTCGTGTGAAGAATTTGATTCGATTGCGATTAGACATTCACTCATGTATTGAACGAATACTACTACAGTATATATGATGCCTATAGCAGTTGCTCACAATGTCAGGCGTATACACCTATTATAAAAAACATTGTCGGTCGGAGATCTGAAATCTGAGAACGAAAGGAATTGTGGGTTGTAAGCTGTAAATTGTTTTGTGGTTTTAATAAGTAGTTCGCAAAAAGTTAAAATCTCGATCATACTAACTTTGAACGATGACCTGCGCGGGCAAACTATCTGGGTAAGTGTATATTAAATTTTTAACGAGAATACACTCAGTCCCTCACATTTCCAATCGGTCTCAGATTTCTGATTTCAGATAATTAACCGACGTTTTTTGAAATAGGTGTAAAACAGTAGGACGAGCTGGAGGGACAACTAAGTGTTATGAAAGATATTTTTGAAGGATGAATGAGGAGCATGCGCTCGCAAACTATAAAAAATATAGTGAAAGTTCTAATTGTAAAGCACATTTAGACTTTCAAGAGGTAATCTAATGAGGTCATTAGTAATGCCAAAGATTAAACATCCTGCATACAGCTTCTTAATGGAGCATAAAGTAAAAATAAAACAAAGCCTATAGTTATTTGCGATAAGTAGTTTTGCGCGTCTATGTCTACGACTTCCTTTGTGATCCGAGGTAAGTAATGACTAGTCAGTCTACTTCGAGGAGTATTTAACTTGCTCACTAAATGAAACCAACGGTGGCACAAAAGATACTTGGGGCCGGGATGCCTTTTGAGGTGAGGCGGAAAAGATTAACATTTCTTGCATTAATGTTTATCGTAATCTCAACAGGGCGACAACTGACGGAATGCGTCCATGAAAATCAATTCAAAAGATCATTCCTCTCGAGCAACAAGCAACATTACATCGAACTCTTTATTAGCAAGTATGAACACCATGGCTAACATCACTGCAAATGCCACTGGGAATGCCTTACAAGCAGTAGTTAATACGTTGGCCAGCAATACGTTGAATGCTACTGTGAAACCTTTATTGATGAATACCCTGGCCAACATCACAGCGAATACTACACAAAGCACCTATATACCCACCAATACCCTGCTCAACATGACGGCAAATTCTACAGAAAGTTCTGTATTAGCGAGTACACTGGCCAATGTTACCAACTCTACATCGACCGCCGTTTTAATGACACTGGCCACCTTCTCAAGCAATTCTACACCGAGTACTTCATTCGTAAAAACAATGGCTGACTTCACGACGAGCAATGTATCAGATACGTCGTTCCAAGCTACGGTTAATACCCTTTTTAACGTTACTAACGGGACGGGCATTCACGGTGGTATGGGTGCATTCAACCCTACTGTATCGAACGTCATTGCAGCGATTTTCACTGGGATCCTTATCATTCTTACTCTTGGAGGAAACTCTATAGTGTGTGCGAGTTTCTACACTTTTCACGATCTCAGGACGATTTGTAACTATTTTATCATATCACTGAGTGTGGCTGATATTCTTGTGTCGTTGTTCGCTATGCCGTTTTGGTTAGTTGTGCAGCTCAATAGCAATGCGTGGAATTACAACCCAACACTGAAAGCCTTTTGGGATTGTATGGACATACTATGTGGTACTGCATCGATCATGAATCTCACTGCGGTAAGCTTTGATAGACAGCTGGCAATCACATCCCCATTCTCGTACCCCAAGATACTGACAAGACGTCGTGCTATCTTACTCATATGTTGCGTATGGCTCTACGCTACGGGCATGGCGTGTGCCAGACTGATAGAGTGGCCCTTTCCAAGCTATCTTCACTTCGTAGCAACTTTTAGTTTTTTTCTACCGCTGTCGATTATGCTCGTCATGTACACTCGAATTTATCTAATTGCTCGCTACCACGCACGTCGCATTGGAAAGAACTACGCGAACGATATCAAAGCAGCCAAAACGATAGCAGTCGTTATTGGTGTCTTTACGTGTTGTTGGTGCCCATTCTTTGTGGTCGTGCTTCTATACGCATACAATGGGAGGGGGTACCGCATGCCATTTCAAATCTACAATTTGACCAAGTGGTTAGAATATCTCAACAGTTGTCTCAATCCCATTATATACACGTGTCTTAATCGCACATACAGAAGAGCATTTAGAAAGCTATTTACTCGATGCCGGAAGAAAATTCGCCGGGAGTCTGAGTGTTCAAGTGCAAGTACATGGCACAACACTGATCAAAGACAATCTGTTTCGCATGTAAGTGGCTACCCTTCGAACTTTAAAACAAGAACTTATTTAGCAAATGGCAGGAACGCTATGTTACCGACAGTCGATGAAGGCACTGATGTATGACCTCATTAGGAAAAGGGGAAAGCTAATATATATGCAATGAGTTTCGCTAAATACTATCTATGTTATGCAAGAAGCAAAGGATGGAGCAGCTGCACCATTGTACCTCAAAAAGAAAAGGGTAGAGGCTTTATGGGACTAATCTGACGCAACTCAGACTCTATAGAATGTAGGCACTAAGTATATAGAAGATAAGGGGGTGTATACCCCCTTTCTTTCCTCTTATAAAGTCCTGTCTTCACAACCCCATTGGGGCGACGAGAAACCTCATTTCTTCATGTATTTAAAGCTGAAGAAACGGACGTGCTCTTTTAGGTTTAAAAAATGTCTTTAGCAAAGAATTCACGACGCTAGAAAACACTTTTGTATTTCTCATCAATAGAAAATAAATTATATGGAAAAAAATAAAAGAACGAGATGGTAATCTGAGTAGAAGCAATAGGTTGGAACAATCTGTGACCATACAACTGTTTACCTCTACTTATCTCCCAATGATAAAAAATACATATCAATCAACTAAAGGATTTTTTCAAGTAATGCCTGGAGATCGTAACATACTTGCGTCAGTAAACAGTTCACAAATTACTTCAGGCACGCACTGTTATTAATTCATCAAGGACAAATAAAATTAAAAAAGAGAGAAAGAAAGAAACGGGTTGTCAGTTCAAGATAGTTAGTTTTTGTCATATTATGATCTTACAACACCAAGGCCAGTATCTTAGGTCAATCCTTTATGTGTTTTCCTTTATTATGATCCTGTGATATCCATCAAAGAAAACTATAGGGGACAAAATATTATTCAAATCAAATGAAGTATAAGCCCTACTTTGTTTTCTAAGTCAAGTAAGTCGTGTGTTGAGATTCAAAAGACACTACTAAAAGGTACGTAAAACGCTACTGATAAGAAGCTTAAAATCATTAGACTGTAATTGCCTTTTGTTTCATAGCTCAGACATCTGTATTTTCTGTTTTCAGTATCATTTGAATCCTCAGTGGTGGTTTCAGAAATCCATTTCGACACTACCGCAAACTTCGTTTTGAACCCAGACAAACAAGCGCAATATGATAGACGCGACTGAATAAAGCTGACTAGTGCAATGAAATGAAAAAAAAATCGGCAGGACATTCAACAACAAAACGGTGGCTATTAGTTTTAATTACTCGCGTACTACGATGTTTAATAAAAACAACATAGCAAAAATAATACACCTGTAATAAACAAAATGGCTCGGAATTAATGCTTACGAAAACACGGTGGGAAAAGACATTCGCGAAAAATTGTAAATTAGTTTTTAAGTGCTCTTAAGTGCGCGTGTATGAATAAAAAAAGGAGTTATGCTTTCAAGTGCCCAGCGGCGTCAAATTGCTAGTACGTGCGTTTGGAATAGACGAATAAAATAAAGAAAAATGACATAACTAATCCCTAATCCCCACCCCCAACTCCAACTCCCGCCAACACACATTAAAAGAAAACCAAAGAACACTAGAAAATAGTCAGCAGGCTAGGATAGTTTGTTTCTCAAGAAATAGAGGGCACTTCAGAGTTCAGTCTTATCCTTTGAAAGCATGGTACTGATATATAGTGAAGCAGGTAAACACAGATATAACTGACGGGCCTAACTTATGCGGTTTTCTCTACACTACGAACTCACGACTAATTATTGAAAGAAATATCGTGCAGGGAAAATTATCGTTTTCAAAACGCACAGCACGACAACGGAAATTCCAGAGATTAAAATCTTCCYAACTAATTTTACCCCGTATTCGGCACATCCTAAACCATTTTTTGTTTTTCAAAACAAGCATTGACAAAAGATTTCAGGCGCCAAATGAATGCACAGCAAATAATCTAATAATGGAAAAACACATTTGACTGGCGGGAAAACTTTGCTAGAAAACTAGTTACGAGAAAGAACGAAACAGAAACCATTTGTTAATCAACTACGTGTTCTTGTTTATGGATTCTATTCACTGATATCTCAATTAATAGTACTTGTCATGTCAGGATTTGAAATACTCAAAATCATGATAGAAAACATTGGGATTTTTTTCTGGAAACGGAAATTTTTTTATATATAAGCTTTATTCTATTAAAAAGGAAACGTTATTCGGTTCGACCGGGGATTATAAAAAAACATAATAGTACTGGAACTAGTTAAGAGGCCATATTTGAAATAAAATCAACCGGAATTATAAATACTCATGAATTCGTGTGTGACGTCAAGTTTCTAAGGTTGCCAAAATTTCGCGTCCTAAACAAACCACTTCATGTTTCAAACATTATCACATACAGGGCAAAATTACTCGATGCTGATTGGCTAATGAAGGAGGGCTTTTTTCCGTAATTCGGGGCCGAATTACTAGAAAATGATTGGTAGTTCAGTTGCCTAGCAACGCTCATAAAATGTAAACTTTTCTTTCAATTCTTGCAAACAAAATGGCGAAGAAACCACAATAAAACTAAAATGTTCAAGCGAAAATGAGAACACTAGAAAGAGTACAGGTGTTTGGATAAATGTTTTCCGCAAATGGGCCTGGGAAAGACCACTCAAGTAGTCTCAAATGTGCACAACTTCACCAGCTTCAAATGTGACTTTGAACGCCATCGCTGGAAGTCATAATTCAGCAAAACCATCTTGGTCTGGACGTAATCAGTCAAAATGCCACTTTATTCGGCTTCTTCCTTTGGATTCTGATTCAGATTAAGAACTTTGTCGGTAGGAAATCTAGTTTAATGCATGTTTTATGGGTTTTGACGTGATATTTTACGTTTTCCATTCCTTCGGTACTTTTTTTCAAGACTTTAACATTTCATTCAGCGGGATTCAAGGGAAAATTGCCAAATGAATATTGTTTAAACTCAGTGATCGATGATATTCTTTTGTACAGGAGAAAACCATGGAGTATTTTTGTCCAAATGAAAGAAGAGAGGACATGTAATGAAGAAACACGTTTCGCGAATCGGGCAATTTCAAAACTTTGAAAACAATCGTGAAATTAATCCTTAATTTTACTTAGCCAAATACGATTACATATACAAATTGAAAGTTGTTTCCCTTTTAAGAAAATTATGATTTAAGACTGAAAGCAAATCAAGGAAGGCGCAAGGAAACGACGCGGAGATAAACATTGTGTAGCCGGTATTATAAAAGGAAGCCGCAATATCATTATGAGAAAGAAGTCATACATAAGAAACTTATACGACAACGAAAGTAACGAGGCAATACCATTAAAAAAAAACATTTTTAAATGCTTAAAAAGAACCAAAGTTTAAAATACAAGAACGTAACTAACTATGCAAATGCCATTTAGAGCCGTACCATAAAAGGATTAGGTTAATTTTTTAAACTTTTTTAATTTTTCTTTATTATTTATTTATTCATTCGTATCCTGAATAGTAATGATTTTTATACAAGTGACATGTTTAACGGTTTAGAAGTGAGTTTTCTTATATTTACATACGTTAGATTTAATGGTTTAATAGAAAATCGGGTAAAGGACATAAGGATATAAAAGTATCAGAAACAACAATAATTTTGAATGATTCTCAACAATGTCACTACCGCTGTACAGATGCCAATAAGGTAGTCATGCATTCAAAACAGGTTTATCAGGTTTAAACTAGTTTAAGGTCATTCTTCCTGTTCTCATGAAAAACAGGTACCATATACGTCATATGCTATCATCTGCCTGATCTACCGTTACCTGTTTTATCATATCTGGTTAAACCTGTTTGGTCAGTACTGATCAAGGCATCTGATATCCAAGAGGATCCATACTGTTCTCCAGCACAGCAAGAGAAGTTTCTCTCAGCAATGTCAAAAACCTTTGGAGTTCATCCTTCCTGAACACCTGATGGTATATCATAAACGAATTTATGTTTATCAGTGAAAATCATATTTATTTACATGGGAGGATCTAGGGTCTCGAGTAGGAGGATACGTTTGCAGTTAAAAGGATATATTACCTTGTATAATTCGTATTGTTCTGAAGCAATGATGTCAGCCAACTGAAGACACTAAAATCAAAAACCAATTAACATTAGACCGCGAAAATACGTTATATATAGAAAAATCAGATAAGGATAATCTCGTCAGGAAAACACTAGTCACTCTAAAGCAAATGAGTGACAAGTTCATGTGGTCAGCACTCAGTAAGCAGGAAATATAGCGTAAAGCCAATGAGGTTTTCCATTTTTTTTCCTTTACTATTTCAGAATCAGTGAAAACAACCAACAATAAAAAACGCGTCATTCAGGAGTCAAAAGAATAAACACCTTCAAGACGAGATATTTGGAATACACTTTGAAGAAATATTCATTTTGAAGAAAAAAACAAGATATAAAGAAAGAATGGATGAATGAAAATGGAGAAAAAAAGGATAGAATAAAAAATTTATACCAAAGGCATTCTGAATAATGTAAGGGTGTCGACTTACAACGTCAACCTGAGAGAAAAGCCAATATTCTTTCAACCATTCGCGCAAAATGACGTACTGAAGACCAACCTCGATTGATACGATAAACAAAGCTATCGTACAGTAAAATCACTTTTAAATCAGACAAATAAGATGAACATCAAAACACTGATCTTCTATGACATCACTTATAAAAAGTTAGTTGAACCATTCGCGCAAAATGACGTCAGTGTGGAAGACCACGCTTGATTGATACGATAAACAAAGCTATCGTACAGTAAAATCACTTTCAAAACAGACGAATAAGATAAACAATCAAAACACTGATCTTCTATGACGTCACTTATAAAAAGTTAGTGTTTTAGTTCTACGTTTTATGTCAAAGGCGATCCTATCACCTTACCTGTTTGTATTGCCCAGTAGAGTGATGCACTGTATGAAGTAAGAAACAAATTAAAGGGAGACACAATTGTCTTAGCAGTTCTAGTTGCTGAGAACGTGTCGCATCGCTCTCTCCATCCTGATAACCAGAAGATAGAAAATAGACGTCAGTGTTGTAGAAAAGGTAGAATGTGGGAATAAACGTAAGATATGCGCAATAATAACAAATAAAATACTTTATGGTTTTTTCACACTAGGCATACATGGCGCATTGGCGCAATTTGCGTAAGTAGAGCATGCGCGCCAGCATAATAACAATATCTTGACTAAATCACCAGACGACCAGGGATTAAATTCCCTGACTCGATTTCGTACGAGAGTAAAGTTGCTCGTTGGTTCTCATGTGATTCGAGAGCTTTTCTCTGGATTCTCCGGTTTTTCCTCCCAAAAATCAATTTCTAAATTTTGATTGGAATCTAGTGGAAAAAGAGCCACTCCATAACTACTGTTAATTCCCGTTTATTCTTCCCTTTATCTTTGTTTGGTTTCTTACCATTCTCTGATCGAACATCCAACCGCCATCAGGAAATAGCAAAACATTGTACAGCCTTTCTACGGTGGCCTTTAAAACAATGAATAACGTAGGTCAAGAAGAATAAAAAAGAAGCTAGCAAACAACCGCACGCATAAATAGGTAGTGGTAAATAATAAATGGGTAGCATGGGTGGCGTTCGCGGCTAACGCGTCGTCTTTCACCGCTGTGAGTCCAACGGGTCGAGTCGCTGGTTCGAGCCCTACGGTCGCCATATATATCACATGTGAATTGAGTTTGTTTGATATGTTTTTCTTTCCTATGCTACGAGGGTTTTCTCCGGGTTCTCCGGTTTCCTCCTTCCGTAAAAATCAACATGTGAGTTGAGTGTTGTGTGCATAGAATATTAAATGTAGTGGTAGTGCGTGTGAGTGAAAAGTGTCCCCAATTAGTGCGAAAGCGCTAGAACGACTAGACGCTTAAATAAAAGTGATTTATTTTCATTTATTTTATTTTTAAATATAAGCATTATGAAAACTGACTTCGTAAAAGGAGAAAATCTCAAAACGGTATCTCAAAATGGAAAACAATACCTTTGAATGGATTTCGAGGCTGTTTTGCCATCGTTCACGATCAACCTATGACAAGCAAAGAAAATTCGATTGATAAAATGACCTTTATCTTAGGAATTATTAGTCCAACAATCTGTAGAACAAAATTGATCTTGAGAGGTTGGTTAATGATCTGCAAGTGATAAAGAGCGTTGATTGAGGGATTGTTTGATCAGCTGCACAGAAGAAGACGTAACTGATGATAATTAACGCAAATGATAACGACAATGATGATAATAAACTGCGCTGTCACTGTACTTGGTGGTAACCRTTTTCTTGCTGATGATGAAGGAATGGTATTCACTGTTAATAATTTTTATAAGCTTTAGTCATAGTTAATCATCTCACCTCGTACTGTTTTTGCCTTTGTTCCAAAGCAACTTTCTCAGAAAAGTTAGAATAAGTTTCGCTAGACAATTTTTTCTGTAAGAAAAATGAAATTTTATACTTATATTTTATACTCATATTTTATGCAAATACGACGATTTTCTTCAGTCAGATAGTACTAACATATCTTACCGGTGCTCCGTGATGAAAGTGTTGGAACCAGTCATTGAATGCGTCATGTGCATCCTTGAAGAAAAAAGTGACATTCGTGATATGCCCATTAAAGAATTACGACAAACTTAAATATTGCACACTCCTGCATAATCCAGAAGAACTCCTCCAGTTGAGTCGAGGAATATGAGAGACCCAAGGACTTGTCTGCTTTGAATCAAGGGATACCATACCTTTAGGGGACCGTAAGAGAGCAAAAAGCAGAACTACAATAGGCAATGTGCACGAGCACAAATCTCTAGCACAAAGCATGATGGGAAACCTGGTACTTACGATTTTTCAGCTCCTCTAAAATCCCTCTGACAATTTTTCCTTCGACATTTTCTATGTAAATGTGTGTATTTCAACAGAAGAAAATGAAAGCGTAATTTTTTAAATGATGATTCTATTGATTTTCTTGTTCTGTTTTGTGTATTACTCGGTTTCCCATCATGTGTTGTGTAGAGATTCGAGCTCGTGCACATTGGCTATTGCGCTTTATTTAAAAAACATGGTAATTTAAATACTTATTTCATCAATTAAAAAGTGTCATACCAGATAAGCTTTGATGCACAGATATTCTCTGATAGCGTTATCATCTTCAGCGGGTAACGCACTACTACCAGCCTAAAAGACATAACAGAGAAAGTTAAACAGCCGTGGAAATACACAGCTTCTTTTATCTCAATCGGGATTTCGGGGGGACATGCATATTACATTACATCATAAGCAAAGAGAGGCAACATTCGTTTGACTATTACACGTTACCAACAACCAAACAATTAACATGATGCATCGTGGGCCGCTGGCTTTGGCAAAACATCTATTCTTCGTTTGCAATAGACGTCATAGCCGCCATGTTGGAAGTATTTGACAAAAGATTTTTCAATGAATTCTTTTGTTATATCTTCCAACATGCCGGACATCCCTTTTGTTATTGTGCTCTCTTGGGATTGATTGCAAACCAAGAATTTCTGTTTATGCCTTGAGAGCTGTTTTTAATTAAGCTAGACCACAATGAATCAGTCTTGTTTGATGAATTCAGAAAAGGCCAGAACAGTCCAATAGGTGCTTCTTTAATCGCATGTCCTCTAGGTATGATAATAATATCTTCCATACATATATATGTTATATTACACACCCTCATTTGCCACTGCTTGTAAATAACATCAATGGATCCAGCTGGTATTTTGTTGAACACCTCTCGCGCTGCTGTATGTTTTCGAGTAGCTATAAACAAAATTGAGAGCAACATTTCCAAGTTAGCAATCATGTTAGCAAAGGTGGTTATTATCATATTAGCATATTAGCATAGGATATTCAGTACGAGGTGTCGCGAATATATGAAGCTCATTTTCGAGTGGTGAAATGTTTTGCAACACGAGAAGATAAACTTCATATCCTCAAGCCAACATGTAATTTGCTTTTTATTATAGAGACGCATTCACAAACAAAATATTTTTGCCACGTCGAAAGTACTAGTGACGTTATTGATATCTTCACGTGTGAGGATGTGGGAAATATGTCCCTGAGGTCCCGGATCAGTGTACTTCGTATGAAAGACAGTACGAGTAGCGTATTTCCCAGTTAAACACTGGTTGTCTATTGAAGAAATAGAAAATGCGCGCGCGTGCTGTTTGCAGTTATAAAGCACGCGGGGATAAGCAGAAAACGAGAGAAGCGTCAGGAGAAGCACGACGCGTAGCGGAGTGCTTCTCAGCACTTCTCGGGTATTGTGCCAATCCCCAAGTGCTCTATGACTGCACAAAGCACAGCCAGCTATTTCTTTAATTTTTTTATAAAATACAAATTACAATAACCGTTCATTATGGATAGGAATCATGCAACTGAAAGTGCTCGCGCGTGCTGTGTGCTCTTAAAAAGCACGCGCTCTCAAGCAATCAGATTGCGAGATTCATAACAGTTATTTTATAAATAATAATAACAACCCATACGCCATACGCACCTATGAAGCAACGCATGATAGCATTGCCTTGTTTCAACGCCTCAGCACGCTGGGATGGATCAAATACCAACCATTCCACAGCTTCAATCTTTTTCCTGTCTTCCTGTAATAATATAGGACATTTGTATGATATCGTCATTTTACTACAACGACCAGAATGCTTTGCGAATTTCCTTTCTTATATAAATTTGCACTGCCTCATGAGAATAGTAAAACAAATGGACTAAATTTTGATGTAAGTTGCAGGAAAAGTTGCTTCGTGTGATATCCCTGAAGGAAAGTTTCGTTGGGCACAAAACTTGCATTTTTCAGTTAGTTGTGTCCTTCAGTCTGTACTCACCTCAGTAGTAGCAGCTTCCAAGGCTGGTGACAGATCATTATCAATTTTGAAGTCCTTCAAGAGAAGAAGAAACAGTTAAAATGTCAAATACGACGGACATTGAAAACAATTTAAAGTTAAATATTAATAAAACCTTTCCACGAATATTCTCGACCACCGTTTTTGTTATCGTTTGTACGTCAAGACCTGCAAAGATAACATCACGCTGTCAGCATAACGATGTTCTATGAAACACATTTCTTGTTTCATTGCCAGAGCGAGAGACAATATAAATTGGAAGCAGGTTCTTGCAAATACATTAACACTGAACACCTCGCCACGACCACTTTGCAAAAATTTTTAAACGAAGAATATTTGTTTTTCGTTGCAAAGAATCCAAAATTTCATTGTCAGTGAAGGGAAAAAATAGAAACCATGCGAAAGGGGAAATTCATGCCAGGCGCCTATATTTTGCCGCTTCAATTTCTCAAAAACGAAAACACAGAAAACCATCCTCTTACATAGTTCCTATTTGTTTAACCTAGCAACTTGATATACTTCTTCCGTTCTTATTTACCTGCACTTTCGGCCAGTTCAAGACAACGCTGTCTTTCTTTCCTGTCGATAATTTCTAAGAAAGAAAAAGAAATAAGTAAACCATTAAAGGGTCTACAGGAAATTTCTGCTAAAACATTATTGAAATAAAATATTCGTACCTTCGAGAAAGTAGGCGTACGTATCGATTTGTAATTCCGGTGGAAGCGTAGCCGTGTACGTAGCAACAAGTGGMACCTGACAGTCATCTATCAAATTCTAAAGAAGAAAAACAGGACAGTTTACCATTTTCTCAGTATAACATGAAGTAGTCAGTTGTAATTTCATTTAATACCAAAAACCCCTTTCTCTTTCTCTTGAATCCTTGTTCCTTTTCAAAATTGTAACATTAGACAGTAAACCAAGTTTCCCGCTCTTTTCGGCGGGAAGACGCGTCTGCGCGTCTACAAAACCGGAAGTCAACTTTTCCCGCCTTTTTTGTGGGTAGGCGAGTCAACCAAATTACCGGAAGTCCAGCTTTCCCGCTCTTTCTAGCTAAAAAAAAGCATAAAAAGGGAACAGAATTTTCCCGTTTCCCTCTTTTCTCTCGTGCGAATACACGTGTTATCATTTTTCCAGAAAATATTCTCCAATTTCTATGTTGCGTACTTCATACAGTCAACTAATTTTTCTTTTTCCCTTTTCTCCTCGAACAAGTTCAATACGAAACTATGGTTTTCCTGAATATACATGATTTTACCAAGCGTAAAGCGGGCTCAATGACTCAACACTCACCTGAACATATGCTTTTAATAATGGGCAGCTTAATTCCTCCTACAAGATAAAGTAAAAAGTATGCGAACAGAGTCGATAAATTTAACAAACTGAAGTATAATAGAGTCACAATATTATATTTTTGTCTATTTTTTTTATCGGGTAGCGTGGTTTTCATTACCTGTGTTTCAAGCCCAGATGCTCTCAAGAAGAGCACAAAATGAGCCATAAATCGTAGCATGTGATTAGAAGGCGAGTTCTCGTCCTGTAGCCATTCGTTCATTATTTTAAGTAATCCTAAAAAAAAGTGCAAAGGATTCACATTTATTTTAGTTAACAAAACTGTGTGTTGTTTTAGTAATCGACTCGTCATTTCTGAAATAGAGGGGGGAAGGTTTTTACCCTGGATATCGTCGAGAATGATGTGTGTTTGTATTATATGGTGGTGGTGTTCTGCTTGTCTTCGAACAGACTGAAACAAAAACAAAATTAAAAATTACACACTGTAAGAAGCTTGTTATTAAGAAACACGGCTCTAAAACATAAGTTGACACAGTGTTATGCAAAGTTTGACAATGAGTACTGGCTTGACACTACCTTACCTCTTTTGAACAGGACTTTAGTTCTTCGAAGATCTTTTCTGGGGTAAGACTAAAAAAAATTAGAAAATAACTGTTATGAATCACGCGTTCTGATTGGTTGGGAGCACGTGCTTTATGAGAGCACACAGCACGCGCGCGCACTCAGTTTAGTAGCGTCATTCCTATCTAAAATAACGGTTATTGTAATTTGTATTTTATAAAAGAAATAAAAAACTTGCTTGCGGTGCTGTATGGAGTTATAAACCACTTGGGGATGGGCAGAACACTCGAGAAGTGCTGAGAAGAACGATGCGTAAAACTTCTCTCGTGTTCTGCCAGCCCCGCGTGCTTTATCACTGCAAACCGTTTTCTATTTCTTCAATTTTTTATACACGTACATTGTTTCTCAATGACTCATGACGAATAGCATTTGGTGGACCTCAATTCAAGTGTTTTCATGTGGAGGCATTTGACTATGGAATGTCATGGAAGGCAAATTCGTACTTTTCGCGAATTGAAAACTGAGAACGAGTGTAATGCTGTCTAAGGTGACTCACTTTTGGTCCCAGTAAGCTGAAGGCAAATTCTCTACTTGTCGATCTGATCGTGAATTCAAATGCAATTCCTATAACAAACAAAAAAAGATCAAAAGTGGTAAGAATTTTATAATCATTACATTTATGTGGAGTTGAGAATCCACTGTTCCAACCCTTTATGACTATACAAGTACCCTGAGGATCCACGAGCCCCATAACACAGTGGTTGTATTTCTATTTATCTTACACCATAGAAAATAAAGCCAATCAGAATACAGTAAAGCCGTTGTATTTCGTCGTTATTCCACTCTTCCTTCCCATCATTGCAGTCTTAGTTATTTTCTATGGTGTGGGATAAAATAGTTATACAATTCTTTCTCGAGGCACGCCATGGAATATTCCACTTGTCACTCGTATTTTCTTTGTATACACATTCGCCTAAAGGCCTATATATACACACCTATTTCAAAAAGATTGTCACTGCCAAGGGCAACAGGCAATACTAGGCGATAGGCAAAAAGTGATAGGACATAGGCCATTTCAAGAACCAAGAAGAACATGGACCTTCATGTTGAGACTAATTCGATGTTGTTTGTATTCAATGAAACCATTTCCATGTCGGAATGACCTATAGCCTATCGCCTTTGGCGATGAAAATGTTTTTTTGAAATAGGTGTACACAGAAAATACAAGTGACGCAAGAGAGATTTCATGGTATGCCACTCAAAAGTATTGTACGGTGTATGACTAGAATCTATCCTCCTTCCTGTAACACCTCAGTAAAAAACTACATTTTCACACTAATTGGGGACACTTTTTTGCTCCCATGCACTACTACTTCATTCAATATTCTATGCACACAACGCTCCACTCACATGTTGATTTTTACGGAGGGAAGAAACCGGAGAACTTGGAGCTCGTAGCATAGGAGAGAACAACACATCAAACAAACTCAATTCACATGTGGCGACCGCAGGGCTCGAACCAGCAACCCGACCCGTTGCACTCACAGCGGTGAAAGACAACGCGTTAGCCGCGAACGCCACCCATGCTATCCAATCCATGCTTAAATATTAACCAATGCAACATGAAATAGTTCTGTCTTTAGTCCCACTAAGAAACGTTACCTGTTCAACACGAACATCAATCATGACTTTGTAGTAAGCCCAAAGAAAGTCTTCCCATGACTCACAGGCTGGTATAAGCTGTTGGCATGGAAACGAGTATCAGATTTATTTAGTGTCTGTTAATTCCGTGTTCTCTAAGAGCCTAAAGTAAAGCTAAAAAAGGTAAACTTTGATCTCAATCTAAAACAGTTGATAGAAAGATAATTTGTAACACCGTATGGTGATGTAAAAATGAAACTGACGTTTCGGACGTTAGTCCTTCATCGGAGTAAAAATTTGATCTCAATCTATTTTACCTGGTTAAGGTTTCCAGAAAATGAAGCATACACAGCTCTTTCGTATAAACCAAATTTATTCTACAAAAATGGACAAAAATATCTTTTTTTAGAACACAAACCAACATTAGAAACCTCGTAATATATGTATGTCATGAAAGAAAGAAGACTGTTCATTTCCTACCTCATTAGACATTTTCCAGGCACAAGCTTTCCAAACATCTCTGTAAGGATTGCCCTCCACTTCAGCCAGAGTTCCATTATCTGGAACTAAAAATATTAAGAAAATTTACTGCAGTTGAGAGAAAAACATAAATTATGATGGTAATGGTGCTGATGACATTGGTAATATTGATGGCAATGAAGATGATTATTATCAATATAGCTTGTTCCACTTCTTTAAATAATTTATGTACTTTGTTTGATGATGGCAGTGATAATGATGATGGCAGTGATAATGATGATGGCAATGATGGCGATGAAGATTATGGTGATGGCTAAGATGATGATGGCGATGATGGCAATGGCAATGGCGGCAACGCCAACACCAACTGCCAATTCTGACACCAACCGCCAATGCTGACACCAACCGCCACTGCTGACCGCTGATGAAGACAACACTGATGAAGACAACACCAATGAAGACAACGCCAATGAAGACAATGCCAATGAAGACAATGCTGATGAAGACAATGCCGATGAAGACAACACCGCTGCCGCTACCAACAACGACAACAACAATGATGATCATAATGGTGGTGGTGGTGGTGGCCATGTTGATTATAATTATAATGTTGATTATGAAAATAATGAGGATGATGATAAATCCAGTGATTACCTCCATCAATATTAGAGTCATGCAATAGTTTCCATCCCTCTAGTGTAGCTGCTCTCCATGCCTGACCACACCTTTCACAAAGCTCCTGTGCCTAAGGAAAAATTAACAAAATTAATAAAATACAAACAGAGTGTATGAAATCATGAAAAAACAAAATGGAATCAAGGTTGTTTCTTTTGCTTGGAGTGCAACCCTTATAACTTGCAAGAAATGTTTCACAATCAATCATAAAACTTACTTCTTTAAGTTTTCCAGCTCTTATGAATACGAACAGATGCTTAAGAAGTCTTTCTTCATCTTCCTTTAGAGAAAGAGCATGTCAAAATAATGTCATCAATACAGCTTTATACAATTTAAATAAACTAAATGCATGATATAAGGTGAAAAACTTTAATCTGTTCTAATCCCAGCTGCATCAATTAAAAGTAAAAAGATCTACCTACCACATCAAGATCTGCCAGTGGTCTATTTTGACGTACAGGAGCATCTGGATCCTGACAAAATATTATATATCATATTATCATATGACCCATATCTGCCCGGGCGCGCGCTCTTAGAAAAACCTTCAAGAAAATGACATGAGCAGGGCCGTACGGCTTTGAGCGAGCAGGGCCGCACGAATCCGTACGGCCCTGCTCGAATCCACGCGCTTTCTCTTTTTTAGCTTTTATTTACTATTTCTTTCTTTCTTTTCTTTTCTTTTTTTCATGAGGGTCATATGATAAAATGCTTATTGACTGAGTTAGGTTGGGCCGTGTGGGAAAATATTTGGCTCTCAGTCATTTGGACAGAACTTGCTGCGCTCGGTCTGTACAGCATCACCTCAAGCCAAATATTTTCCCATACAGCCCTCCCACTCAGTCAATAAGTACATAGTATCACTGTCAACATTCACTTCTAATTATAAAAGACTGACTTTACAGGTCCATCACTAGGACTTTGAAAGGGAGGTTCGTTTTTCTACCAATCTTAGTTATGCCATTTCTTAAAAAACTAAAATAACGCTAAATTCCTACAAAGTGGAGAGGGGGGTTCGTTTGAACCTTAAAACCACCCCTAATGACAGGCCTGCTTTAATTAAGTAACTACCATCCAATCATAAGATATTACAAATGTCCAACAATTCCAAAGTTCAATGAAAGAAAGCAAGAAATAAAGTCAATATTTGGTAAATTCCTTTATGAAATAACTGTCATAAATCTCACATTCTGATTGGTTGGGAGCGCGTGCTTTATAACTGCACACGGCACATGCGAGCGTTTTCTATTTCTTCAACAGAGGTGGAGAGGGGGTTTGTTCAAACCTTCGGACCACCCCTATCGGCGGGCCTGCTTTAATTATGTAACCACCATCAAATCATAAGATATTAGAAATGTCCAACAGTTTCCAAGTTCAAAGAAAGAAAGGAAGAAATAAAGTCAATGTTTGGTATTATGACTAAAATGATCTCTTGTGGTGCTGCTTTATTACTTTACACTTTATACTTACCATCTCAGTTACTAATGGTCTTTTTGATCCATGTCTTTTACTTCCTTCTCTCAGTTCATGAAGGGTGTTCTCCCTAAAAAAAACACAAATACCATTACAACATATTACTAGTTAGTATTCTACGCAGCCAATAGAAGTGTAGTCATGCAATGCTCACTCCTCTAAGTAAGGGGAGTGAGCAATGCATGACACCACTTCCCTCAGCTGTGTAGGAGACTATTTTATTACTAGCATGCATGGTAAATTAAAGTTGTATGTCACTGCACTCTAAGTAAACTGAAGATAGCTGAGAATTGTGTGCAGAACATTAAGTTTATTTATGTCCACCTTTCAAACATTAGACGTTTGTGACTCCGTCAACAAACATCAACGTTTTAGTCTGCATTCCTTTCTTCATGTGCTGGCGTTCTTTTCTCACATGTAATTGTGGGGTAGAAGTGAGTGTGCTGATTATATATGACACTCTTCAAACCTACCAACAGATGGATTCTGAGAAGTACTCTACTTTGTCAGAGTGTAAAACACTTTCTAAGAAATCTTCAGCATTCTTCTCAAGCCAGTCAATCACCAACTACCAAATAAAACAAAGAAACAATATGTTAGCTTTCCACATTTAGACTGCAGCTTTTGCTTTTCTTAATGTTACATGACCGTAAGTTTTTGATTTTTGGCATGAAACGTTTATCAAAACAACTCGGTCTGCAATACATGTATTTAGCATTGTTTACTGACTAGTGAATAGGCATATTGGAATGCAAGGGGATTCACTAGGGAATCAAGAGACGCTAATACTTAAGAGCTGAGGTTGTGTAATAAGGCATTTGCGTTCAGCAGCCTTACTGCATCGTGAAAATTTTAAAATAAATAAATAAATGTAAGGGAGATAAGTTAGATAAAGGAAAATAATGATGTGGGTCTTAAAAGGAAAGTAAGCTGATTATTATGCTAACATTATACATATTGGCAATCCTGCACTTAAACACTTAATTATAATGGATGAATTTTTTTTATATTCTTGATACAGAGTTCAATAAAGCACGCACGCACTGTCGTGTGGACCCACTTCTAAAGTCTGTGTAGTATTAAATAATAAACGATTTATATTCGGTTGAGTGGGGGAGCGAACTAGAATATAAGCCTTTTTCTCACTGCAGGCACAAACATACAAATTATCTCAGAAATTCAACAAGCAACAAAGCAAAAACTAAAAATTATTTGGGAAGACAATCCACAAACAGTTACGCAGAGGATTCAGTAATTTTTGAAGTGGGAAGCCCTTTGGACAAAATAGGTGGCTGTGTATCAAATTAATATCAATGATTTTCCATTTGATCATGAAATAGGTGGCAGTGAAAGGTGAAGTACATGGCAACCAACCTTCAGTAGCTGCCTTCTTTTGAAACCCCTAGTTATGGGATATTTTTTTCTTCGACATAAAACTTACTATTTGTTTTTGAATCATGGTCAAAGTTTGTACAAAAGGTACTGTACCTTGAGAAAAAGATCTGTTCATACAAGAATGGTTTTACAGCAAACATGGGTTTCACAGCAAACATGTTGTAGGACGAAATAATATAATATTCTGCTTGGCGAAATGAGACTTCTTTTCAGGCAGAAATATTGCACTGTTCCTTTCCTTAAATATGTCTGCAGTGAAACCACTCTATACCGTGAATACAGTACCTGGTTCTGTCTTGTGCTGCTTTCTCTGTCATACAATAAGCTGATAACTTTCTTTTCACTCCAGTTTTTCCTCTAGAAAATTAACGAAAAATAATGATGGTCATCATTTTTTTCATTGGCAGGCATCTTTTTGTGTTGCAAGAGGAAGGTACAAGTAGAGATAAATAGAGTGTAACAGAAAAATATTGAAAATCTCTTTCAAGGTGAAAGATCGTACCATGAAATCTGTCAGCATAGCTTCATCATCATAAGATCCACTCTGTAGCCTGTCACTAAAATTATAAATTAATAAGCATTTTTAATGTAATTTATTACAGAGATGGATGGAGAGCATAACAGGTTTTACAGCCCCCTCGATAAAGGCAACCAGTAGATCAAATTAGAAATTAGAGGTAAATTTTCGTGGAGGTAGAAAAAAACCAGACAACTCAGGGGGAAAAACTTCAAGCACAGGAGAGATTAACTCTACTTACAGACTTGGAGTCTTGGAATCGAACCTGCATTTGTCACACTGGTCACATTGATGAGAGGCAATGCAATTTAGCAGTGCATGCACCCCCTCTTTCCTATCCCTTGAAGAAATCTTCGTACATGTTTTTAAGAGTCTATTTTTTAATTTTTTGCAACAACAAACCGAGAAAATAATTTAAAAACTCATTATTAATATTCACCTGTACAGAGACCCAATCAACCTCCAGGTATAACTCTCTTGTGTCAACATCATGAGAATTTCAACTTTCTTCACAAATCTGCAAGTCATGAGATTTACCATTTTTGTAAGAAAAAAATTAACACAAATTATTTATCAAAAATTGTTTATAGACCCATCAGTAGCAGTAAAAGAAAAAAGTACAGTTGGAGATCTCCTTGCCACCAAACACCTCCAGTTACAACCAAGAATTTAAAACTCTATTCACATTACTACTTATGCCAGGGCTTAAAATAACAGGCAGACATCGGACAATGTCCAGCCAGAACTGGGACTTGTGTGGTCAAATCTTTGCCTTACCCATCATTTTAACCAGTAAAGTTTAGCCAGAAATGAGGCATGACTAATAATTGGCCATTATTTTAAGCCCTGTATGCAAGCTTATCCTTGTTAGCAACCAGCTTCAGTTTTTCGATTTCCCGAAATAGTTACTTTTGAGAGCTTTGACTGTAATTATTAATTACTTACATGGCCTTTCCTGGTGCAGTAGACCTCATGATACTATTAAGCTGATTGACTTGATTACGACAAGACTGAAAATATGGACATTACATATGTTATTGAAACTTAGTATTACCAAGGGCACTAGGACACCAAATGTGGTTGGATTTCTATAGGTTTTTTTTCCTTTCGATTATTTGAATTAAATTAACGTTATACTTGTTTGACTTATCTTGTGTCCGTGTTCCTTCATTCGCTGTTGTAATCTAGATGTTTTCATTCCAAAGGTCAAACGGTTTGAATAGTCTATGAGCATTACTTCTTTAACGGCCGTTCCGTACTTGACTCTGTTTGTACTATACCAACAATAACGCTACCGCGCGATACTCCTTACGTCAGTAATATTCAACCGTCCAGGGTTAATATGTTTAATCAAATTCACCTTAAGTTCCATATAGAGCCCTGGGGTAGGCTACTAGCCTGCTTGCCATTGTTCTCTCGTCTGCTCGCTTAATCCAATTATTTTGAAAGGTGGGGTGGCAGTGTGTTTACACAGCGATGACAGATGCAGCACCAACGCTAGTGTACGAACCACTGCCGAGCCTAGACATTGGGTAACACGATCCCCCGATACCAGTTGTGGTATACAGATGTGTTTATAATGAGTACCTTTTCATAAGCAGCAACAAGATCGAAGACATGAGTAGAGTGTGGATATTTTACCAAATCATCCTTGAACTCTTGAAAAAGGACTGAGCTTGCTGTAAAAGATGGATTATCAAAAATAAACAAAAACGTATCAGGTATACCACAAAGTAAGAAAATTATATTAATATTTAGCCAAAAACTGACCTGATACAATTGGGTCTTTATCAGTCAATACACTCGTGTTTGTTACTTGGGTGGTATCTAACTGGGTTTCAGTAGTCAAATCCTGATAAAACCAAAAATTAATGTAAGTTTAATTAACCACTTCAAAAGCCAAGTTGCTTAGTTAATGACTCTATCATATTTTAGTATAAAGGTTCTAATGGTCTATTATGAATCCTGGGCTCTGATTGGCTGAGCTACTAGTGATCTATTGGTGATACACCACAATAGATGTGCCGGTTTTGAAAAACAAAAAAATGTGAAAACTACATTATTTAAGACATTAACATGGAAAAAAATAACCATTTAGAGAACAACACTTCCTAATAAGAAATATTTATACAAACTTTATAAATATTTACATCAGCAATCCCAGCCAGTGGTTTCATGGGGGTAACTGATGATGTTAATCCTGTCTCATTCATTAGAGAAATGGAACCCTAAAATCAAAACATTCAAGAAAATTTGAAGATGCAATTCTAATTGAAATAATAAAAACATTGGGAATGGGAGTCAAGATTGTTTCAAAAAGTCATTCACTTATTTAAAGTGTCAAATATTTTTGAGATATTTTGGAAATAAAAACATACAAGGTTCAACACTCAAATTTATTGTCATTGTGACTCATTGCACCAGGAGGTACATAGCACTGAATTTACTTAAGTTATTTTTAAGAGAAAACACACCATTGAATAACCAGGAGTTGGGGTTGGTCTTGATAGACTTGCAGTGAGAGTAGAACGGCCATAGCCATCATTACTGAGCATCGACAAGTCCTAAAATATACATTGCTTTAGCTATAGCTATTGTAAATCTTACAGCATAATGTGCAAAAGTATGATCAGTGATAATGTATTTGCATAATCTTGCACTGTCTTGAACATTAAAAGTGACACATTGACTGACACATTAAGTGTAAAAAAGAAGTGCAATAGCTTCTTAATTGAAGCAAAAATCCAATGCATAGAGGTATACAAATACATTAAATGTGGTCAGGCTTTTGTGCATCAAACTATAATCACTGTTTTCCATCGAGAACAAGTTTTTTTTCCATTTCATTCACATTAATGTGCCTTTTGAAAGTTACCAATAGATAAAGAAGATAATACTCAAGGGTATGTATTAAGGTCTATTTTCTAGGTCAAGTTTTATGAGTCCTGATATAGCTGCTACTCATTATAAAACCCACCTCAGTATCAAAATCAGTATCAGCAATAGATGACATTCCACTAGGAGTATCTAAAAAAAATATAAAAGAATATTATTCAGAATAATAATAAACATAAACATAATGAAATGAAATTATGAAACCATATAAAATAAGAGCTCAAATTGATTTCGAACCCACTACCATCTGTATTCTAGCAGAACGATCCTGTGGGAAAGTGACAACAAATTGCAACTGCTCAGTGCTTAAAATAATGGCCAATCAGTGGCCAGATATGAACACACCCCAAATTAGTTTTAGCTAAGTAAAACCTTATTTTTGACTAAACATTACTGGTCAGAATGACTAGCAAGGCAAAGATTTGACTGGACAAGTTCCAATTCTGGCTGGATACTTTCTGATGTTCAGCCATTACTTTAAGCCCTACTTCTAGTCTCTGACTGTAATGTCGATTTATATAATACATGTTCATAAAATATACTGCATTTATAAAAATGATCACGGAGCAAGTAACATGAATTATTACTCACATGTACTATGTCTCAGTTGTGTCATTGGGGTCCTCTGTAACAGAGGGGTGGGGGTGCCAGCAGTCCTTAATAAGGGGGTTGCAGTCACAAGGAATGGTTTTGGAGACCCAACTGCATCATCCAGTAATTGTAAAGCTGAATAAACTATTAAAGAAAACTTGTAATGATAACTCATGCAGTAATCAAGTAGTTTGATATTACCGGCGTTTGCATTGCTATGCGGCCACCCCAGACAAAAATCGCTACGTGCACTTTGTAATAGACTGCCGTCAATCAAACAAGTTGATGTCATTTATACATGTTTGTGGCCCAGATAGGCCTGGTGAGTGTGGCTCATAATAATTGTAAACAATCGACCGAAGTTTTGGCGCCTTTTGAATCACACAGGCATGTAAATGGCGTCAACGTGTTTGATTGACGGCAGTCTATTGCAAAGTGCACATCACAATTTTTGTCTGGGGTGGCTGCCTAGCAATGCAAACGCCGGTAATTTTAATTCAGAGCTCACATGCTTTGATTTCAAAATTTAATTCATACAGGGTTTTCATTAAGGTTCAGAGATTGGAGAATACTCTGGTAAGACTGAGTTAAATTCTCCGGCTTAAATTACCATGATCTTCTATAATTTTTCAAACCTTACTAAAAACCTTGCCAGGACTCTCTGCCTAGTTCATGATCTTTTCCTATTATTTCAAAACTTAATGAAGACCCTGTTTAAACATTATTTCAAACTTCAAATTTTGCCCATAGCTTGAACTAAGAGAAAAAAACCCTGATTCAAGGGAGACCTAAAAAAATTCTATTAACATGTGCTGCCAATAAATTGTAGAAATTGAACCTGGGACCACAGACTGTAAAAGATAAGGGCTGATTACTGCTATACCGTCATCATCATCATACCCAAAATAATGGAGGTTTGAGTATGACTTTTTATGTATTACATTCATAAAGGATACATTTCTGAATATTGCTTCTTCGTTTTGAATTCTTGAAAATGTTTTCCTTAGAAAAATATATAGTTTAGAAATAATAAATAAAAATAAATTAACAAAAATTTAATCAAATATAGGATGGAAAAAATTGAAAATTCTATTACCTCATTGTTTTGATCTGGAATTTCTCTGTTTCCTTCAAATTCACTAAATAAAAATCAATCCTAATGAATACATAACTCTGATATATGAGTAGACATTATATATATTGCCTTTAGAGAGGAACATATATAAATACTCTGGCCACATTCTAAGTGAATTATTAAGGGTTTTAAAATGTACATGCATATCTCTGTACTGTGACATAAACATCCTTGGAACTTGAGAAACTTTTAGAAACTTAGACACACATCTACAAGGCATAGCTGAGTGTTTCACTTGCTTTTCAAGTGTTATACAGCTCCCAGAGTGTTTAAATCACAATGCAGAGAGCTTGCTTTTATTAAATATCTTTTAATGATTTTGCACTAGAGTATCTCTAGCTGAGTAGTGAATTTTGTTTCAGCCAATCACAGCATGTTTAGCTGTTTTGCCTATGGCCCTCATTTCCAATTCCAGGCTACTGTAACCCAACTTTTGCATATTTTTCTGTTTTCGTTTGACTAAAATATAATATATGAGCCTACAAGAAGCAGAAATAAGGAAAGGAAGAATTAAAAAAATATTCATTTACTGCTATGTTTACTTTGTTCTTTCAAGCTCAAAAATGCCTAGGGCAGGTCATTTTGTCCACTCATGCTTTGCGTGCACCACATTCACTGCTCAGCTGTTAACAAGCTTATCAGTGTGCATGTTATAATTATATCAAATAGTTTTTTAACATAATCTCAAATATTTTATCAGCACACATGTTAAATTTTAGAAACAATAAATAAATAAATTTTATACTAAAACTTAAAAGTTTTGGCCAAAATAATGGGCAAACGAAGGAGAAAATTGGGAGGGGAGGGGAGGGGAGGTTAGGAAGGGATGCTGCAGGAGAGAAGTAATTGCATACAAACAGGAAAAATAAAGTTTGTACAGTTTGTACATCATTTAGATAATGTAATGGAGATTTCGAATCGAGTTTTTATCCAGGTAAAATATTTTTTATTGATAAATTACCTTTTATTTCTAATCTCCCGCCTTGTATCCACAACCTTGTTCATCTTGTCTGGGTCAAATTCTTTCGTTCCTTCAGAATACTTCAACATAAAGAATATAATTCAACCTAGCTAATTTTTGAGCGTCATTAACACTGTTCCCAACAAATGAATATCTTTTTCCTATTTTGTAAAGTTTGAAATTATCCAAAGATTTCTATTAAAAAACCCTTAGAGAAAAAACATATGCTAAGGTTACCTCGTTCCAACACACTTTTGAAGAAATAATGGTCAACTACTCGCACATTCGTTTTAACTTCTAACTTTCTCTAAAGCACTAACTTTCTCTAAATTTTTAACCAAAGTTTTAAGTCTCATCTCTCAAACGCTCTGAGTTAACTAAAATAAACTTCTATGAGCTTCCAAAGCCGCGCACGTGGAACTTGACAACTTTTGAGCCGAATTCAAATTCCCTTTACATACCTGCCAAATATAATGAAGTGTTGAGTCTCTGGGGTAAAATTCCGAGCTTTGACGAGATGCATCTAATGAACGCATTGTTCTTCTACTCGTTCCCTCTCCAATATCCATTGTTTCTCCTTTTTCTTCGTCAGAAACACTGTATAAAGTGCTTCTCGGACCTTCGGCAGACGTTGCCGCCATTTTGCCCTTCATCTTCTTACTTAGTCTTCCAACTTCCTCTCCGATAAACAAACCGCGTGATGCCTGGGTACAGGCTCGTCCCAGTCTCACTCCTCTCTAGCAACGCCTTGTGTTTATCGTGCTCGAGATTCAATTTGTACTCCGTGTTTTAACTTCAAGGATTATATTTTTAGTATTTTTCAACCGTTATTATGACTGGAGTTCGAGCACGAAGGTCCAGGAGAAACAAGAAAGTTAATACAACAAAACCTGCTAAAAAAAGACGGAACAAGCAAAAGAAAACTTTGAAAATAGCAAAGTAAGAGACGCCACTGAAGCCAGACACGTGTTTTATAAGAAGCTTGTTAGTTTAAAGCTTTGATTTCAATTTGTTAGTAACACACTTCGTTTATGGTTTTGAAATTTTCCAGTAAAACTATACAAAAGCACTGGGATGAGTCCAAGACACTCAAACAAAACTTCAAGGATCTTGGTCTAGCATGTGACGTCAATAAGTCATTGCCATTGGTCAAAAAAAAGGTAGGGGGGGGGGTGGGGGGTTAGTTTCATTATCACGTTTCCTGCATCCATATTTCTAAAATTCATGTGTCAAATATAAACTGTATAAACGTAAACCCAAGAGTCACAAATCATGCTTTACATGTTGCTATTTTCATGTATCACACACTTATTTTTTAACCCGAATCTCTCATTTGCCACCCTGATCAAGCTTGTTAGACCCAACAACTCTTAATATGCATAGTCATTATATAACTGCCATGTTGGATGACATAAACATCTTAGGATTCAACCAATATGACAGCCATATCTTTTATCCTTTTTATTTCTCAAGGGAAATTTATATGTCACTTATAAGCTTTAAAATGTGTTACAGTAATTTTTCATAAATTCAACATGTGACACTAGAAATACTAAAATTGATAGTACTAAAACTTATACTTTTAATAGAATAAATCTGAAAATGAAGAAGTTGAAAAAATGGATACTGAAAACCCTACACAAGTTGTACAAGGTAATTTTATTCTAACCCACCATATTAAAAGAAAAGAAAATTATTTGCTTTGGATTCTGTTTATGTATGTTTGCAAGGCTTCAAATAAGTCAGACAGAAACAACATTGAGTCAAAGCAATCATATAGAACAATCAAAATTGTTCTTATTATGCACCTACAATTATTATTTTCAAGACTAACATTCTCAATTACCTAGTATGATCAATTGTGCATGTTCAAGGGCAGATCCAGGTGGGCAAAGGGTGGCTGCAGCCCCCCTTCAGCAGAAAAAAAACCAAAAAAAACTGAAGAATTAGATGCTTTTTTTATTGTTTTCCATTGTGTTGAAGGTAGAAACTCAGCCCCCCCCCCCCCCCCCCTCCCTAAACTTTTGGCTGGATCTTCCCTTGATGTTGGTAATTATTTAAAGTCTCAGTACCATGTATAGATCTCTATTGAGATCAGGCTTGATGATAAGAACAGTCACATGAGTAAAGAGTGTACCCTCATTAATTTTGATTGCTTTACAATGCAATAGAATTGGAAATGCAGGCATCAAACTCGGAAGATAAGACAGAAAGACGTATTGCACCAGGAGAAGCAAGATTCATATGGAATCTAATCCAGAAATATGGAAACGATTTTAAGGTATTCAAAAATGTTGCTTTTCTAGTGTAGTCCTGGGTTAAGTGCACTCACCTCTGGGGTCTTGAGTTTTATTCCTAGACTCTATATGAAATTATACTACTAGTTGAGATCTCCAGAATAAAATTTCCATTTCATATTGTTATTTTGCTTTATAGGCCATGGCCAGGGACAAGTCAAATATTTATCAACACACACCAAATCAACTCAAAAGAAAGTATGAAGGCTTTTTAAGATCAAGTCAAGACTTTAGCAAACACCTCACAGATTCTAGCTAAAATGTTGGAAGTCAGTTTTTAACAGTTCTATGATATATAATTCATTTTTGTTGCTCATCTCTTTATATTTATAATAATAAGGTTTAAGGAGATCAAACTTCAGGGTAACACATAGGTTAATGAGAATTTTAGGAAACCAAAGGCTTATATTCAGTCACATTCGTCAGTCACCTTAAAATTACATCCAAAATTCATTTAGAAGAAATATGGCCCATTGGGATGAGAAATGATGTACAGTAGCTGTTAGAATGTTGATTTGACATCCATGACAATCATGAAGTAAAGCATAGTTGTTGATCCCTATTAACTCAGACTTATGCCCAGTCATTACTCTTACTTGCATTGAGGTTAATAAGAAAGATTTAATATTCTTGCAACCATGTTCCATTGCAAATGGAAACAAGTCTGCTATTCTCTGTGGTCAAGGGTCTGATTGACCTTGGAATGGTCATCTTTTGTAATTAGAGTTAATTGCTGGTTTTGTGCTTTATCTTGACGAAATATTCTTTATATGCACTCATGACAGCTTGAGGTTTCAAAACATTTATTTCACACTTTGTTGTTCAACTTATCATTAAATTTTATCTGTGCAAAAATATTCCTTTACTGAACATTTCTTGGCATATTTTCACTCGTCTGCTACTTCATTAAAGAACTTATCTTTCTCCATAGAAATGGGTGCTTAAAATATTGTCTGATTTATTAACTTATCTGATAAAATATACTTGTAATATAAAAGTCAATGACAAGTTCCCAGTTAAAAATGTTCTTAGCCTTTGGTTAATTCCTACTTTGAGAAACGACTTTATTAAGCAAAGTACAGTTTTTTGAAATAATGTTATTTTTTCCAAAAGAACAAAGTAAAAGCAGGTTTTGATGAAATTAGAGACAAAACCATAACATGCTAGAGTGCACGCACTAAAACCATGACAGTAAATAGTACTAATTAGTACTATTTCATACAGAATCCTTTGTTTTCTATTGTTTAATTATCACTATTTAGTGCTAAAAATTAGTATTTGTTTCACGGATTTAGTGTGAGCACTCTATTCTTATAATGAAATGTTATTTATCCTTAAATATGAAAGTTTAATAATCTGCAAATAAGCAATTTGTTGAATTTGTCAATAAAACATGATATTATGAAATTAAATTTAGAAGCAAATATTTTTGTTATCGTATTCCAATTTTTTTCTTTTAAAATATAATTAACAATTCACACATTTTGATATCTGTAAAGGATGTGACAGGTTTAACTTGAACATCATAATGAAAATATAAAAGCATTAAAAAATAGAAGTATCATTGTACTTTAGTCAATATTCCATAAAGTATTATGTGAAAATATTATCTTGCCATTCTTTCCTTGATTTTTCTTCACTTCCTTGAATGTTCTAGAATTTCTTTAAGATCTGGAGTATTTAAAAACTTTAAATTGATAATGTGTTGTTCTGCAACTCATTCGTTATACCTTTATTTCGTCCCCCTCCAATCTTTCTTTCTCATAGACATTCTTTGCCATGACAAAATTATTTTGGTGCATTAATCAGCTTGAAAATTCAAACTTTTGGAAAGACAGCAAATAAAAAATTATTTCCCTAGGTCCATGCTAAATGTAACATCCTACAGGCGAGAGTCCTAAACAACTTTCCTGTATCCGCCCTTGCCTGTTTATCAAGTTGATGGAAGATAGTTATTAGACAGTTACAATCTTTCGTTTCAAGAAACGATGGTAACTATTTTGCACAATAAATAATTAAAATCCTATATTTTGCAGCACCACAGAGCATGTCCATTATCTTCGAGATATTGTTTGAGCAAGCTCTGCTATTCTATCAGGCATACGACCCTTCAGCGCAGCTGGACTCACTTTGAAAGCATCTGGATTAAACTGTACATGATCCATGGTTTCTCTAACAATCGGTCTTGATAACGATTTTATTCTTTCTGTTGCACTTGCGCGCAGAACGCTCCTAGGTATAGGCTCATCTAGCTCCTTACAATGCTCGTAGCCTTCAGCTGTCTGTTTGGCCTTTGCAAGCTCTTGTACTCTCGCAGAAGCAACAGTCCTCATCGCTGACGGCGGCACAGCCCACGTGGGTTCCCTGTGGAGTCCCTCAGAACGTGTCTTGGGACGCGCAAGCAGTTCTACACGAGGGCTAGGAGATGCTTTTCTTGCAGCACCTGATACGGGCCATATGCAAGGTTTTTCGGGTTGATATCGAGGGTGGGCTTTCTTGGGATGTGCAAGACTCATGGTGCGTTCCCGTTCTTCGGTAGTTTTGGCGCCTTCACTTACATCCCATATGGGCGACGAACGACCACAGCTGAATATATAGTTATCTCTGTTAGGCGAGAAAGAAATAAGACAAGACACGCATTAGAAAATTACTCCAATATAAACCTGACTTTTCCTCTTATGACGTCATGCCGTTCAAGGCTTTCGTCACTTCTGTTTTATCAATTGTCCTTTTTTGCTTGACGCATTCGCGGAACAAAACATTCCCAGAGGCTCATAACGTCATAAAAGAAAGAGCTATTTCAGTTTGAAAAATATTCTTAGGATTCACAATTTTGAAGATTGCATTTCGAATTTTAATATTTTAAAGTTAAGACATTTTTATAGATCTTTTCTCGACCATAACGTCCTCGTTGTCATTAGTTTGGCAGCCCAGGTTTAAGGGTCAAGTCGGGCTGTAGTACGCAGCTGAGGCTGCGCAAGGAGAGCATTTGGCTGCGCAGGGAACTTGAATTAGAATTCTTTATGGCTTAAAATAAGGGGCACATTTAGTAAGGTGGTAGGAAAAGGAATTCCAACTGTACCCCGAAATCGGAAAACACTGAGCTAGCTTCAACAATCAACAATCGTTCCGGATGCCGTTCAGCCGGGACAAAGGCATGAATTATTCTGTGGGCGTTATGAAATAGCACAATACACAAGCGGTACCATGTCTTCAAAGGAATTTGTGTTATGAGTTATTTGGGCAACAAGTCCTACAACCGTAGCAAAAAACTCCTTTGATTTCAATTGTGAGAGAGTAGCTCCTAATTATGAAGTCTTCATGAAGCTGGCTATTAAATGAGGATTATTTCCTATCATTCTTATAATGACTGCTGAATACCTCTAATATTTTCATTCATTATTGGCTGACATATTTATCATAGCAGCCCAAAACTTTTTGAAATATTGGGGCTAAAGTATGTTTAAAAGTGAAGAATTCTAATATTAAAAACATTTGAGTGGATTAAACTGTTAATGATCTTAGTATCACACAAGCAAATGATTCTTTGGAATGAACCTATAAATGAATTAAGGACGAAATAAAAAATAATCTTGGTCCTCCAAAGAACGCTTATTAGTAGTATAGGGAATGGGGGTTCCAGCGCAATCTCAACACGGG